ATATATCTTGATACAATTGATACAATTGCTGACTAATAAACTGTAACTTTAAGCCCAGCAATTAGCATTGCTTTTACAGGTTAGTTGTATCAGAGAATGCAACAGGAATTGTAGAAAGCAACTTCAAAAGGCTCTTGTTTTGACAGACATCTGGCTTGTAAATAAAAACCATTTTCTTCAAATTACCTGAAAGGATTTTTTTACTATTATCAGGCTACTAAGACACATTATTTTCTTATGAAGAAAGTATTAGTCCAAGCCATGTCAAGGTTACTTATGACTAACTACCTCTATATTTTTTCAGTGTTTTGTGTATCTGCTGCTGATCCATGGCTGAGGTCCAAATAAATGCAAATAAAAATGAAGCTTGCAGCAAGTAGTGCTTGCTCCCCTGTATTGGAAAAGCAGCCTCATAGGGTAGACTGGAAATGACAGGTGAGCATACCAAAGAAAAATCGAGGCTTGGTGTGAGTTGCTGATACCTTTGCTGACATGTGATGTGCAGGTGGAGCACACTAAAAAGGTAGGGTGTACCAGGTGGGGCAGAGCACGGTGTGCTTTCATCTGGCTCATACTGCCTATCCAAAATAAGTGCAATTCATCTGCTCTGTGACAGAAAGAATTAAAATCTAGTACTACCAGAAGCAATTTTCTACTTTGACTCTATGTGCATTAAGCAGAAAAATAACTAAAGCCTGTTCTTTGAATGGTTTTAAATGTATCAGACAATTTAAAAATGCACCATCCTCATAGAGATTTGGCCTATGATGATACTACATCGTTCTGCTTGTAGGATAATAATCCTTATTATGCTTCATTATGAAGATTATTTTGTTCTTGCTCTGACAAATCAATGCAAGAGCAGCAGAACCATGTGGGTACTGGCATCTCTTAAGACACATAGCCCCGAGTCAGCAGAAAACAGGTTGGAAGTGGTAGTACCTCTGCTTCCATGACTATCATACTGAAAGCAGATCCTGGGAATCCCTAACTGAAATAAAAGCAACACACCTCAGTGCAAAGGTCTCTGTTTAAAATTATTGTCTAACTTTCCTGTTCTCTAAGTCTGAGAAAGCAATTTCCTTGAAGCAGAGAGCAGAAGCAGAAGAGAACTCTTGACTGGCTGGATGGCTAGATGGATGGCAGGGAGAGGCAGAGTGGATTGCCTGGAGGTGAGAGCATCACAGACTCAATCCAGATGAAGAAATAAATGATGACTCTAAAACATAACACAGGGTTTATCATGACAGGAGTGAAAGGGTATAAAGACCTAAACTGTTTATTTGTATGAGAACATAATGGTCCTTGTCATCAACTTGGTGTTGAAAGGAATCACTTCCATCTACAGCATGCAGCAAAAATAGGAGATAAATTTCAGCACTAGTACCAGTTTAATGGAAAAAGATTGAAAAAGAGGATGAATATGGAAATTAGACAGGGATGACATTGTAATAATTTAAATGTGCCATTTGGTAGCAACAGTATCATTCATGGAAAAACAACACTAATCAACATCAGATGTATTGTTATTTTAAAATAGACTTTATTTAATGACAATAAATATAAAGAAATCTTAATATTCAGAAGCTGATTGCAAACATTCTTAGAAAAATACAAAAATACATTCTTACATTCTGAATTTTATTGACATACAGAGAGTCTAAAACAGTGGTGACGGTCTGTAATTTATAGTGCTTGTTAAGGCAATGAAATAGTCACTGGTCCAAGTTCACCCTGACTTCAACAGATCTGTATAAAGTAAGAGTCTGACCTACATATCAAGAGTAAAAAAAGGTAAAATTGTTTCATAGTTTAAAACAAATGTTAATGTTCCATTTGAGCAGCTCGTTAATTATAGTGACCTAGCCTAAAAGAAAGTTACAAATACTTATATGTTGGCAACTGCCCCTCCAGCATTTTGTTCTGATGCCTCTGCAGAGCTCCCTGTGTACAAGCAGAGCACATTTCAGCAGTTGGAGGTAGAGGCTGCAGAAATTGCACTTCTTAAAAAAATAAATGCAATTATTAGGGATTCTGTTGGTTTTCCTCTTCTTTCTCTCTCATTCAGAACTGTGCTTTGAATAACACTGTGCATATGACAGACTGAACTGAATGCCTGATATAACATCTTCTGAAATGAAATGTTACAGCTACATTAGCCAGGAGCATGGCCTTTCAGAAACAAATCACTAGAGCAAAAAGTTAATGTTGACTAGGTGATGCCCACGCAATACTCACTGCTCTCTTCAACATATCTCTGGTTTCAGCATGTTTTTAAAATCGTCATTTTAAAGGCAGGAATATAAACTCTCAATGACACTGAGGGCCAACTATCCCTTTAGGAAATGGTGACAACTGATGTAAAAAGGGACGACTTGGAGAGTCCACGTGAATCAAACAAGGAGCAAAAGACTAGGCACTCCTGAAAATCAGCCTTAAGCTCTGCCACTGTTCACAGTATGAGCCCAGGAAAGGCACTCGATTCCTTTGTTTCCTAGTCTCTTTACTTCTCAAAGAGCTCTATAAATACTTCCTTAAGACCAAATAATTACCTGAAATGATCTATTTCACGCTGCATTTTCCCCCCCTTTATCACAAGACCTCCACGCCTGCTCTGGCCTTTTAAGACTGTCCCTTGGAAAGGTATTTAAGGCACACTGGTGCTGTGATCACTGGTGGAGGAATGAAAATAGCATCTCTCAGCTGAACACAACTGCACATGGGAAAGGGCCAGTTGAAATTTAAAGTAAAAAGCTCCAAGTATGAAAAGAGCTGACTGTCCTTTCTAATGAAACTCATTTTGCACAGGGAAGTCCAGAGTACTTCACTAAAAATGTTCCTTGAAACAGTTTCTTGGACAAAACTTTGTTTTAACCAAAAGTTTGGTATGCTATTCAGTGACAGGACCAGAGGTAGTCAGCTCAAACTGAAACACTTACTCACTGAGGGTGACTGAGGACTGGCACTGGTTGCCCAAGGAGGTTGTGGAGTGTCCATCCTTGGAAATATAAAAAAGAAGATAAGACCAGCCTGGCTGAACAGAGTGCTTTGGCTGGAACTCGGGACAAAAAGGAGAGTTTATGACCATCAGAAGAAGGGGCAGGCAGCTCTGCAGGACTCAAGAGGAAATGGTCTGTGACCAGCTACACCACTTAGGAACACGTGTCTCTGGGACCAGATGGGATCCACCCAAGAGTACTGAGCTGCTCATGGCTTGGACAGACCTACTGTTTGCTGGATAAAAAACTGGCTGGATGACCAGGCCCTGAGAGTGGTATTTAAAAGATATATAGATGTGGCACTCAGGGACATGGTTTAGTTGTGGACTTGGCAGTGCTGGGTTAACGGTTGGACTAGATGATATTAAAGGTTGTCACCAAAATCTACATCTGGTTACAAGGTCTGATCCAGCCTATATGATCCTGTGGTTCTGCATGCTTCTCTTCAAAAGACAGGCTTGAGTTAAACAGCAGTTAGTATTTGGAAGTTTTGCTACAAATTTCAGAGGTTTGACTCCTTCTGATGATTAATGGGATAAAATACATCTTATAAATGCTGCTCAGTTTCTGCAAATGAAATTCTTAATACATACAAACCTATATGAATAATCTGTCTAAAAATTCTGCATATCTATTGCATTTAAGAAGAGTACAAAATTACAAACACAAAGTAATCACTTGGTTTACAGAATATAGGCATACTTTTGCTTTTTCAACAAGCTTTTTTGCATGATTTATAAAAATGGGTCCATTAAAATTGTTAAAGGGAAAGCAAGTTAATAATCTGGGATATCACTGCTGCAGACACAAGGAAGCACTCTGCATACATGCTTAATCTGTAATTCCCTAATTACCAGTTTGCAGCTGGAGCCAAAATAGCCAAGCAGATCTGCAGTCTAATTTGAAGATGACTGATGGCTGTAGCACATGACTCCACACCTCTAACATCCTTCCTTGTTGTTTAAGGCTTCATAGTGTGGTTAAGGCCTATTAAATGCTTTATTCCAATCTCCAGTTTCAATAGATTCATGGTCTTGTCAGAATTCACTTTATCATGCAATGTTGTATCACAACAGGTCCAGCTGCACATTTGTCCTATGCCAAAATCTCAGGAAAGAACATGGTGCTTCTGGTGTGAGAGAAATGCAAGAGACAGCTCTCCAGAAATATCGATTTAGTACGAGAAAAGACTTTTAACCCTTATTGCTTTTACAGGTAGGAGACCCTCAGGTCTATGAACATTTACTGCAGAATGGACAGGTGAACTAATGAAAGATATAATGCCTGAGTTTTCTACTCACTTGGTGTGCTGTAAAGTCAGTTTGTATGCATTGATTTCAAAGGCAATTCTCCTGTTTACACAGAGATTGATGAGCAGGATGAGCTTACAGTCCTGTTGCTTCTCGTGATTCAAGTCCATGATTAATTGAAATATCTTGTTATCCATTTAAAGTCTCAGTATGCATAGCTAATTCAGTGTAGCAAACAACCATGCTTAGTATGTCAATTCCAATGGCTTAACAATGTGATTTTGAGTTGATTTTCTTTCTCTTTCCTTCATGGTTTGGCTTTTCCTCTTCATTTTATAGTTGGGGTTTGCATTAGCAAGCAAACAAAACTCCTTCACTAGATGTGATGATATTCTTGCCACAAATCATTCTTGTTCTTAAGGTTTAATTCAAGTTAAACTAGTTATCTTATAGCTGATGCCTAAACAAAGTAGAAAGCAGTCTACATATTTGGGAATTAATCTGCATTCTCTTAAGATGACAATTTTTATCTTTACATGATAAAAACGTGTCCTAATAAAAGTGTTTTAAAAATTGAGAACTCTTTTCTGAGTTGCAGTGGTTGTATTTGTCCAAGGGAAAATGGTAAATGTAACAGCTGCAAGAAACAATGTTTAGTAAACAGAATTAATCCAAAGTGTTTGATTGGCTATTGGTAATATCTGGATAGGTATTAGTTGGCTAAATACTGTTATTCCATATGAAAAAGTATTTATTCAGCTTTAGGTCGGAGAGTGCTGTTTGCTCCTTTGATAATATTTTCGGCCATTTTACCCATGTTTTTTTTCACAACTCTGAGATCATTCTCATGCAAGAGTTTCTGTGTGAGGTACTTCTCTCGTTTGACCTTGCTCTTGGTCTTTTCTGATACATCCGGAATTATGTATGAAATAATAAACTTCACAAAGTATATGACATGCTGGGAAAGGTAAAAATGAAACAATGTCAGTCAGGCTGAACAGGACATTATTATGATATAAATGAAATGTCACATTATCTCTGAAGACTCTGAGCTGATTCAGTACCAGTATCTATCACAGAGGAACAATATTTTCAGAAGACATGACTAATAAATAGAAGAACTATCTGATAAACAAGAATTTCTGATTTCCCAATTCTGATTTGAGCAAGGATTTCTTTTGCCTGCTTTGGGGGAACCCTGGTACCCACTGCTTCCCCCTGCATGGAAACATTGGTTACAGTTTCTTATAAGATTTTTTAGGCTTGTTCAAATTACTCTGGGACAATTACTTTTCTATGGGAACTCTGATCTAACCAGTTGCATATTTCTGATGACTTCAGTGGTCCTTGGATCAGGTCCTAAATGCATTTGATAATCAAATAATACCCAATATTTTTCTCCCTTCAACTTGGACAGACTCCTGTCTTTTATAAGCCCAGCTTGTAGCTGCAGAGGAAGGAGAAATTGCTTTTTGGTGATCATCTAGAGACTCAACTCTTGCAGTGACTGTCTTTATAGACTTTACTTTGCTAGTGCACATGTATTATGTATATGTTCTCACGAGGCTGTGTGCAAACTTCTTCTGAGTACACTAGTGCACATGTATTATGTATATGTACTCATGAGGCTGTGTGCAAACTTCTTCTGAGTAGATGTGAAAATATTTTTGCTGTAACTGTCCCTTCTATTTCTGCCACTAAAAATAATTTTACAGTTCTTGATAAAAGAATCTGCAAATGTGTGGCAAACCTCAGCTGGTGTCATGACTTCGGGGACTTCTTTTTGTAACGGTGCTACACTGAATTTACATCTCCCAAGCTCTTGCCCATGCTAGGACACATCACCAGCTGTGATAATTAGTTGGACAGAATGTCTGAAGGATTTTCTGCGTGGAGGGAAGAGATTAAATCCGTACACTGACCTCCATGACAATGATGAACGCCAGCCTGGCTGCAGTGACATGCCAGTAGTAGATGTTGTGCTCATACTGGTGCTGGTGGCCAGGAGGGTAGCGGAGATCCCGATATCTGAAAGCAATGCAGGAAAGTCAGGAACTAAACTCTGGCATCTCTGCAGTACAGCACTGTGGCCAGAGGATGGAGCAAGACATGTCCCTGATAATGTGTCCAGGAACAGTTAGCTCACGGTACAGCTGTGATGGGTAAAATCATATGTGCACATTAAGCTATATTTGGCTGAAATGTTCTAATTTTTGCCACTTTTAAAAAAATTACTTATAAAAATTTTAAAGTGCCTTTTTTTTTTTTTTTAAGACTATCAAT